AGTTTCTACTCACTTTTATTCATACCACCCAATGTCTCGCTTCAATGTTTGATTATGTTGATTATGAGCACAACGCTGATCAACTTCCATATCCGAGTTACCCATGAAATAAATCATTGCGGTTTGTACCTGAGGTAGTTCGTCTCACATTTGATTGACTTCGTGGACCTATGTGAGGTTGTCCTCTTCTCGGCATTTTAGTGAACTTCATAAAACGACACAGAATTATTTTCACAGTCAATCAAATCTGTAAATTTTGTCTTGAGAATTTTAAAATATTGGAAACTTCAAATTAAATGCTCGAATAACGGTAAAGTTTGAGGTTTTGTCGAAACCAACAAAGTGGATATAGGTAAATAGAATGGCAGATCAAAATTAATAAGAAACTTTCACAATGTGTAATTAAATTCACTTTAACCAAGACTTCTCTTAAAATAAACGACGTTTTTTTTTTACGAAAAACAAAGAACGATTTGAAATGCAATATACTTTTCACAATTGCACGGAAGAATTAGTTTTGTATGACACGTCAGTTAGACGACAGGTCCGTCAGAAACGCCAACCATTGAAATTAATTCGAAGTGGCGATTCCCATACAAAGTTTTTAGAATTTTTTTATTTTTTAACTGTTCTTTTGAGTTTTCCTTATTTTTTTATTTATAAACCATCCCCGTAATATAAAACATTCTTCAAATCGGTCAAGCCGTTTTTGAGTCTTAGCGAGACTAACAGGAACAGCAATTGATTTTTATTATATAGACGATTAAAAAATTGGGGTTGGTAGTAGAAAGATGAAAATTTAGGATTATGTGTATTTTTTGATGTCAATTCTTAAAAAAATAAAAATAAAAAATTTTGTCCAAAAAATAGACAAAAATTTTTTAGGGTGGGCCACCCTTATTACTTAGGGGTTTAAAAAATAGTTTACAACCTATTCTCAGACATACCGAATATACATAAAAAATTTCATACAAATCGGTCAACCCATTTCGGAGAAGTTCGGTTACAAACACTGTGACGCGAGAATTTTATATGTACATAATGCATTATTATTTTAGAACAAATTTCATTACCATAAAAAAGGTTATACTGACTCGACCTTAAAAGATAGACATATGCTGTCGCGGACTTTTCTTTAGAACTTTTAGAGGGGAACAATTTCGTCATACATGATTTTTATGTAACTTTAACCGTTTAAGCAGCGTAAGCAACGGAAGCTGTCAAAGGAGGAATAATTTTCCCGTTTTTCCGAATTTTTCATTGCTACTTCGCTCCTAATGATCGTAGCGTGATGTTATATAGCCTATATGTAGATATGATACATAGACTATCCAACACAAAAAGATTTTTTGAATTTGAACCAGTAGTTTCTGAGATTAACGTGTTCAAATAAACAAAAGCTTCAGCTTTATTATATAAGTATAGAAGTATAGATTATTAAATTAAACCCGAAAATGTGCAATTTCCCGGCCAAAATATGAAAAATAATGTTTGCAATCTCATCGTGACGTACGATGACGTAACTGTCACGTGAGCTACCTAAGCAAAAGTCGCATTTTTCAGTTTAGATTTCAGTCTGCTGGCAGCAACATCGGAGTTCCGGTTTGGCTTAAAAGTAGGGCTGTTTTCGCGAATTTCTAATTTATTATCAATAAATATTAGTGAAAATGTGTTGTGTTATTGCTGTGAACACGAAAGAAAATGGATATTTTTCCGAAAAGGACCGAAAACAGGCCAAGTACGACTTCAGTTTTATTTTAACAGGTTCCGTGATTCGTTTACTCGACAAAGTTTAAATTTTGGGGAAATTTTCGCAACGAAAGAAGTTGGTCTGTCAACGCTATAAGTTTTCACAATATAATGAAATCATTTTTAAACATAATTAATATTATTTACAATGTTTAAATATGATAAGCTCATAATTCGTACGACGTTCATAATTTACAAAATACGGCGTCCATTTGTTTTGAAAGTACAGCGTTCATAATTTACAAAGTCCTTCACCCATGCTAGCAAACCCTAGTTCCCCTCAAACGATTAAAAAAAGGAACCTAAAAGCGATAGCAAAATTCGACCAAAGAGCCAAACACAGAACAAGGCGATTAAAAAAATGCAAAAAAAGGCGACAAAGAAAATGTAATAAAAAAGCGAATTGTAAAATAATAGCGAAAACACGGTGACATAAAATGCGATAAAAAAGGATTTAAAAAAGGCGATAAGTTAAGACGAAAAAATGTGTTACAAAAAGGGAACCAAAAAGTTATTACGACAAAAAATGGACGACGAAAAAAGAGAGAGCCAAAAAAAGTGAGAAAAAGGCGTTAAAAAAGTATTAAAACACGACAAGGCAACCTAAAAAGGTGACAAAGAAAAAAGGGACAAAAAGCAACCAAAAAAGGCGACAAAAATGGTAAAAAAAGCTAAACAAATTTGGGAAAAAATGTCGGAAGAAAGTGACAAAAAATATAATAGCCAAACAAGGTGACCAAAAAACGAGCAAAAAAGGGAAAAAGGAGACAAAAATGGCAGGAAAAAACGAGCAAAAAAAGTGTGATTAAAAAAAACGAAACTAAAGGCAACCAAAAAACAAACGAAAATAGCGAAATCAAAGCCACAAAAAAAGCGACAATAAAGAGCGGCAAAAGCCATAAAAAAACAACAAAAAATGCGTAACAAAGAAAAAAACGACAAAAAATGCGAAAAAAAGCAATGAAGCAATTGCAAACAAAGAAGAAACAATAAAGTGTAAAAAGCGACAAAACTAAAAACTGGCGAATTCAAAGCCATAAGAAAAGCCACAAAAAATCGATTAAACTTTTTTAAAATTAAACATCCTGTATTTCACGACATTCTCGAATTCGTTTCTGAGTAAGTTTATAACATCTGGACGGTGGGGTTTATTTTAGCGATAATTAAACAAAAATGACAAATTTGACAAATTTCGTATTAAAAAAAACTTGATTGGAAAGAAATTCAAAACTGTATGCAATATAGTGGCCGTTTCGAAAAATGTGAGGAAACTAACAATTTGCAAATTTAATCACCTTGTATAAATGAGTTAAAAGAATGACTTTTCTTTTGACATAACAAAGTAAGTAAGAAGCATCCGAAATACTTAGTATATTTGAAAACTCGACTTTTTACTCCCGAATGCAAGCTAAGGATTGTGATAAATCCTAGAGTATGAAAAAATAGGACTCCCGTTTCCGTGCCCTTCAAGATTAAATTATGTGTCAACAGCTAGTAATTCCATAAAGTGTCTTTTCCATTCATGTATTTTGATTTTCCTACTGACTTCAGTCTTCCTTCTCCGTTCCTTGTTTATATATCTCCATACTTCTTCTTCTGTTTTCAGGGACTTTATGATATTCTCTTCTTCTTCTCGTTTTTCTCTTTTTCTTTCTTCACATTGCTTTTAAGTACTCTTCTGTCCTTCCCCTGTTATTCTTCCATTTTCTTAATTTTTCCATTGCGTTTCTCTTTAATTCACTACCTTCTCCGTTCCATCCATTATTCCTCCCTTGCCATATGTATATTTTTCTTTTTTTCATAGCTTTTCAAATTAAGTTGATCAGTTCTGCTATCATAGCTCCTATGTCTTCTTTTACTTCGAATTTCTTTTTTTCTAGTCTACTTCTGTATCTTTGAATTCCTTCTTCATCCCATATTCTTTTTTCTTTCTTTCTTTTCTTCTCTCTTGTTTTTCGTACTCTTGCTCTTTTCCTTTGATTTTTATTTCTAGTGGCATGTGGTTTAATTCTATCCTTTCCCCCACTTTGTAACTCTCTATTTCTTCCCACGCCTCTTCGTTGACAATCCCATAGTCTATAATTGATTCTCCTCTAGCCCCTACGTATGTCCATTCTCCTTCTTCATCTCCTTCCTTGTTTTCATTCAAAATTTCCCATCCGATTTCTTCTATTATCTTCCAAAACATTTTCCCTTCTTTGTTATTTACTTTGTCCTTTGATCCTCTTTTCTCTCCCTTTTCTTTATCTATTATTCTTGTCTCCTTATCGACCAATCTTGCGTTATTTTTTCATCTCCTTTTTCTGTTGTTTCCTTATCTATGTTTATCTTGGTTTCTTCCATTTTCTTGCTTAAACGATTATTATTTCCCATCGATTGTTGTTCAGCTGTATTACTTTCTTCATTAGCCCGTTTTTATTATTACTTCCCTTTTCCAATTCTTGTATTTCTTTCCGAATTCCCATTACTATTCCCCCGCTTGCTCTCCCCTTTTTCTTTTCCTTTGTCGCCTCTTGACACTCCCACACATATTCTTGTGGTTGTGTTTCTTCAAATTTTTCCCAGTTTTCTCTTTGTACCCATGTCTCTAATAGCCTTACCACATTAAATTTTTCCACGTAGTCCCAGAACTCCTTTTCCTTTTTTCGCAACCCTTGGACATTCCAAAACAGTACCTCACCCCTTTTTCTCCTAATTTTGTACCAGCTTCCCTTTTCCGCTTTCCCTATCTGCATCCTTTGTTCCTTTGCCTTGTTTCCTTCCATTTTTCCTCATTTTCTTCCTTTTCTTTTGGCTCTTTACTAAAAATTTTCTGCCCTCTTTTTCATTCCATTCAAAATTTCTGCCATCATCATTTATGTAAATTGACGACCCTTTTAAGTTCTTGCTTTTCATTACATTTATTTTTTCTTCTCTATTTTCGAATTCCACTACACCTTTTCAATTATCTGCTTCTGTTCTCCTGTTCCAATCCCATCATCACTACTTTGTTTCTTCTCTTTTCTCTCTCCATTCGATCTAGTTGACTTTCTACTTCATCCACTCTCTTTCCCATTTCTTACTTAGCTCGCTTCCATTCTTCATGCTTATCTCTAATTTCGGCTCTGCACTTTTTGCACTTCTACTGAATTTTTACACACGAACTCCTACGCACACGTTTGTTCGGTTTGGCGGTTAATTGGGAATTCGAAAAAAAAAACTAGTCAAAATATAGTATTTAAAATTTTCTATGTAAAGAGGGTCACAATTGGTTAAATCTTTTTAAAAATTAGGGTTTGTGGTTTAGGGACTAACACAACACCATAAACACCAGTTAAATCCAGCACTGAGGAATCAGGTCGTTCGATTTTAAAATCCTTCACAACATTAGCAACAAATAGTGACATCGCCGTCTGTGCTATTTCTTTCCCAAGACACATTCTCTTCCCTGAAAAAAATTACTACATCTACTTCCAATCGTCTACAATTCCCGTTTTACCGCTTTGAAACGGAAGGAACGACTCCGGTTCGAAAAATTTTCCTTCGTCGTCCAAAAACCTTCCAGGACGAAACTCGTCCGGCTTCTCGTGGAGATTTGGATCCATGTGAATGGCCCACAACAATGGCAATATCATAGCGCCTTTTGGAATTGTAAAACCTTCAACACAAATAGTTTCGGAGACAGAGTGCGGCAATCCTGTTGGTGCCAAAGTTCTAATTCTGGCTGTTTCAGCAATGGTTGCCCTAGTGTAATGTAAGTTAGCAAAGTCGTCCATTGTCACTGTTTCACCTAGCGATACCTCAAACAGTTCTTGTCGGACTTTATCTTGCACTTCGTGGTACTGCGCCAGGAATAGTAGTATCCAAAGTAAGGACGTGATTATGGGTTCGTTGAAAGTCATGAATAGGTCATAAATCAGGTGTTGCAGCTGGTCGAAATTGTAAATAGGGTGAGACATTTGTTGCTGAAACGTTTCAACTAAATTTGGCACACCATCTTTACTTGATTTTTCAAAGTCAGTTATTAGTTTTCTTTGATTTTGGCGTACTTTGTTGACGGATTGTTTTGCCGAAGATAGTGTTTTTTTGAAATATGGTAAGACACTATAACAACCAGTTTTAAATGTATGTACTAATCTGGATTAAATGTTTACGTACCGTAAAAATGGCATAAAGTTCAGTGGACCTCTAAATGTTACGGACGCAACTTTCTCACCACCGGTAACCGTTTTGTCTTCCTGTGAAGACTGTTTTCCTACAAGTAACAGTTCAGCGATGCTATTTGCATACTGAGTTACAAATTCTGAAGGATTGACTGGTACACCATGAGTTTGACTTTTCATAACCTAATTAATTAAAAAAAAAAAATAGTTTTAATAGTTGTAGACTGTAGAACTTACTTGTAGAATTTTTTCAACCTGGTTTGTCACCAACATCTCCCACTTTTTCCTATTTGGTGAAACTTTACTGATCCCTGCCGTTTTCAAAAAATTTGCCAAAAATTTGCGTTGGTCCTTCCATAGATCAACAGACGTGAACACGAGTCCTGCAAAAACAATTAAGTTTCCAAAGGTGTATTTTTGGCAAGCTGCACCTTTATTTTCGAATACTGTGTCTATCATGAAAAGCGAAGGTCTTCCGAGGGTTTCATCCTTTGCTAACACTTTTTTCAATATTTTGACGTCGGCTATGACGACAGCGTTAATCGAGCCAAGTTTGATGTTATAAACAGGTCCGTATTTTTGGGCGAGTTTTGTTAAACTCAGGTGTGGTGATTTTGGATCCAGTTTGTGTAAGTAGCCTAGAATGGGCAAATTCCATGGACCTGGGAGAGTTTTTTTGGCACGGAAAGATTTGAGTAGAAGAATTAGTAGTACTAGGGCACACACGGTCACGATCATTGTTTTTTGCTTTATTTTATAGTGTAGACTACAAAGCACTGCTTTATAAAACTGAACTTTGTGTATATTATTTTGCGTAAGAGGACTGCAATAAAATTACGCGAAATTTAATATTGCGTAATTATGAGTGAACGTAAAAAACGCGTACTTAAACATATTATTATCTGAAAAGCATTTTTATTTATTGACGTTACAATGATTACATTAATTTGCATACGCAATGACACTAAGTAAACGTTTTTACAAAAGTTATTTTTTGAGACTCCCGTGAAATCTATTTATGTACATATTTCAAAACTTTGGAAAACACTATCACCAAATATTGATATAATCGTTGTTGCTGTATCTTCACCAACACACATTCTTTTACCTAAAGTATCCTTGTGTTCGTAATTATGATACCTGTTTCATCTTACCAATCTGAAAAGGAAGAAATAGTTCAAATTTACAAAATTTGCCATCGTTGTTCAAAAATTTTTCGGGACGAAATTTTTTCGTAAACATTTGGGTCTTTTCACATAAGAAGATTTAGTATGACAAGTAGAATCGCTAATATTTAAAACTCAAGTTGTTGCTTTATTTTTCTAAGTGGAAAACAGTAGGTACTTATGTTCGTAAGATTTGACACTTGAGGAATTTTAAAACTAGATCCAATGTAATCATGCTTTATCTGTTGGTTAAAGTTCAAAACATCAATATTTACTTACTAACCTATACAGTATTGCAGGTATCAGGTCAAGGAACCAATACTCATAGTTAAGGCTCGAATTGTATGCACCAAAATATCGCTGCAATATGCATATAATATGCACACATTTTTGGTCAAAATATAAAAAAAAAATAAGAAAATAACATTTTTTTAACATTATTGACTAAATTATTAAATTATTATTATTTGCTTATAAGATTGTAGAAAAAAGGTCAAAGCTCAACTTAGCCCCGCCCACCTCCTTTCTCAATTTCATTGACTGGCCCCACCCACGGTCCAAGATCGGTCATTTTATTAGCTCTATTACATTTTTTTTTTATAAATTTTAGTCTTGTATGTTTATTTAACTCTAGCTTAACACTTTCTAGACACCTTGTTTAACAATTTGTGTATCTTCTCACCAACGGTTCAACAGATTTGAGTAACATTCTAACAAAATAATGACGTTGTCATTAATTAACAATAATAATAAGAGTGGTCACTGGAGTGAAGAGGGGGTGGGTGGGCGGGGCTACTCTTTGCTTATAAAACTGTAGAAAATACCCAAACTCCTCTCAACTGCTTTTTCCATTTCATTGATAATTTTGTAAACTGTAAACTGGGAATTCAATTCTATTTTGACAAGCGGTAGAATCGTAAGATTTAAAATTTTAAATGTAAAACCTTCTCGAAGGCGCCAACTCCCTTTTTTAAGAATATGACAATATGAGCTTGGGATTATTCAGTTTTGATAAAGAAATATAGGCTCTGAGGTCGTTTTTATTTGAACCCTCGTTATATTACACTATTTATAGCCCTTAGAAAACACATAGCATCGTCATCGTGGAGCAAACCTGGCGGAAACTTAACAAAAACAAAAATTATTGACACCATTTGACAGACCGCGAAATTTAAAATGGTTTTATGTTGGATTTAAAGTTTGTACTTTATACAGAGTGTTATTGAAAGGTACGTACAACAAAATTGACAGTTCTTCGTGAAGCCTAAGAAGTCTGAAAAACTTATTTTGTGTCATCAAAATTATAATGGGAAAATTAACCCTTATCCAACCTTTTTAGACGCTACTGAAGGATAAATAGGTAAAATTAATTTACTTTAGTAAATCCTAGCAACTGTAACTATAATAAAAAAATTAGAGACACTTTTGTTGCTATAGAAACGAAAGACGACTTTTTATCAGAGGCGTACAACGAATTTGGACATAAATTTTAATTATTTTTATCTCAAAAAGGAGAACACTTTTACCTGAACTTTTTTTTATTTTTAGCATCCATACTGCGAGACCAAAAAAGCACCAAAAAGGACGAAAACGACGAAAAGGACGAAGGGGACGAAAAATTTAGAAAAGGACGATAAAGGACGAAAAAGGGCGAAATAGGGCGAAAACGACGAAAAAGGGCGAAAAAGGACGAAAAGGTGGAAAAAGGACGAAAACGAGGAAAACGACGAAAAGGACGAAAAAGGACGAAAAGGACGGAAAATTTGGAGGGGGATGAAAACGAACGAAAACGACGAAAAAGGACTAATAAGGATGAAAAAGGACGAACAAGGACGAAAATGGACGAAACAGGACGAAAAAGGGCGAAACGGACGCAAAAGGATAATAAAGACGAAAATGGACAAAAAAGGATAATAAGGACGAAAAATGACGAAAAAGGACAACAAAGGGCGAAAAAGGACGAACAAGGACGAAAAAGGACGAACAAGGACGAAATAGGATAATAAGGAAGAAAAAAGACGAAACAGGACGAAAAAGGACAAAAGGGCGACAAAGGACGAAAGAGGATAAAAAAGGACGAAAAAGGATAATAAGGACGAAAAAGGACGACAAAGGACGAAAAGCACGAACAAGGACGAAAAAGGAAGAAGAAGGACGAAAAAGGACGAAAAGAACAAATAAGGACAAAAAAGGACGAACAAGGACGAAAAAGGATGATAAGGACGAAAAAGGATAATAAGGACGAAAAAGGATATAAGGACGAAACAGTACGAAAAGGATGAAAAGGACGAAAAAGGACGAAAAAGGATAATTAGGACCAAAAAGGACGAAAAGGACGAAAAAGAACGAAAAGGACGGAAAAGGACGAAAAAAGACCAAAAAATACGAAAGAGGATAATAAGGACGAAAAAAGGACGAAAAAGGATAATTAGGATGAAAAAGGACGAAAAGGATGGGAATGGACGAAAAAGGACGAAAAACGACGAAGGACGAAAAGGGATAATAAGGATGAAGGAGGACGAAAAGGACGAAAATGGCCAAAAGAAGACGAAAAAGGACGGAAAAGGACGAAAAAAGACCAAAAAATACGAAAGAGGATAATAAGGACGAAAAAAGGACGAAAAAGGATAATTAGGATGAAAAAGGACGAAAAGGATGGGAAAGGACGAAAAAGGACGAAAAATGACGAAGAAGGACGAAAAGGGATAATAAGGATGAAGGAGGACGAAAAGGACGAAAATGGACAAAAGAATACGAAAAAGGACGAAAAATTACGAAAAGGAGAGAAAAGGACGGAAAAGGACGAAAAAGGACGAAAAGGAATAATAAGGACGAAAAAGGACGAAAAGGGCGAATAAGGACGAAAAAGGACGAAAAGAACGAAAAAGGACGGAAAAGGACGAAAAAGCACGAACAAGAACGAAAAACGATAATAAGGACGAAAAAGAACGAAAAGGACGAAAAAGGACGAAAAGGAAGGGAATAACGAAAAAGGACTAATAAGGACGAAGAAGGACGGAAAGGACGAAAAAGGACAAAAAAGGATAATAGGGACGAAAAATTCGTAACCTCTCATCTAGTATCATTGCGTATATCTTGTACGCCGTATTGAGCAAAGTGATCCCTCGGTAGTCCTTCATATCACTTTTTTGCCCCTTTTTAAATAATGGGACTATTATACCTTCTCTCCACTGCCGAGAAAACCCTTTTCCTTTCCAAACTCCATCTACCAATTCCCATATCCTTTCTTTCACTCCTTCTGTCCCAAACATCCACGCTTCGTTCTGGATTCCATCCCCTCCTGGTGCCTTTCCTCTTTTCAGTCTTTCAATCGGTCTTCCTATTTCATCTTCTGTTATTTCCGATTCGCTCCACATTTCTTCCGTCGTTGTGATTCCTTCATTTATTTCGCAGCATTTTTCCTCACAACCTCCCAATCCTTATACATATATAAAAGGCAATGTCCCGACTGACCTATCAACGCCCAGCCCAAACCGCTAATGGTAGAAAGTTGAAATTTGGAGAGAATGTTCATTTTATACTGGAGGCATCGTGTAAGAAGCGCTTTCTCAAAATTCATCCCCTAAGGGGGTTAAAAAGGGGTGATAAAATTTGTATAGGACCAATATATCTAGTGTAAATTTACATCGTTACGTGAAACCTGGTACATTTTAATTCTCTTCAGTACAAATAAGGAAATCCGTATTTAAGCATTTTCCCAAATTCAACCCCGAAGGGGGTGAAAAGTGACGGCGAAGTTTGTATGGGAAAAATATTTCTCCTATAAATTTAAATTTTTACGGGGAACTTGGTATTAATACTCTTCAACACAAAGAATGAAACACGCATTTCAGATTGTTTCGGGATTCCAACCCTAAGAAGATGAAAGGAGGTGACAAAATTTTTATGAGCAAAAATAGTTTTATGTCTATTTTTACTGGAAATTGTATTAATGCCCTACAACACATTTTTTATTTGAAGGTTGGTAATAATGTTCTTCAACATAACGAATCGTTTACGCGAGCGAAGCCGCGGGCGAAAATCTAGTATTATTTATAATGTTTAAATACGACACGTATTAATATATGAAAATTAAATCGTTTTCTTAACAACACAAAGTTACTAAAAACACAATTTGTTCAAATATCATTAAATTAAACCCGAAAATGTGCAATTTCCCGGCCAAAATATGAAAAATAATGTTTGCAATCTCATCGTGACGTACGATGACGTAACGGTCACGTGAGCTACCTAAGCAAAAGTCGCATTTTTCAGTTTAGATTTCAGTCTGCTGGCAGCAACATCGGAGTTCCGGTTTGGCTTAAAAGTAGGGCTCTTTTCGCGAATTTCTAATTTATTATCAATAAATATTAGTGAAAATGTGTTGTGTTATTGCTGTGAACACGAAAGAAAATGGATATTTTTCCGAAAAGGACCGAAAACAGGCCAAGTACGACTTCAGTTTTATTTTAACAGGTTCCGTGATTCGTTTACTCGACAAAGTTTAAATTTTGGGGAAATTTTCGCAACGAAAGAAGTTGGTCTGTCAACGCTATAAGTTTTCACAATATAATGAAATAATTTTTAAACATAATTAATATTATTTACAATGTTTAAATATGATAAGCTCATAATTCGTACGACGTTCATAATTTACAAAATACGGCGTCCATTTGTTTTGAAAGTATACAGCGTTCATAATTTACAAAGTCCTTCACCCATGCTAGCAAACCCTAGTTCTCCTCAAACGATTAAAAAAAGGAACCTAAAAGCGATAGCAAAATTCGACCAAAGAGCCAAACAAAGAACAAGGCGATTAAAAAAATGCAAAAAAAGGCGACAAAGAAAATGTAATAAAAAAGCGAATTGTAAAATAATAGCGAAAACACGGTGACATAAAATGCGATAAAAAAGGATTTAAAAAAGGCGATAAGTTAAGACGAAAAAATGTGTTACAAAAAGGAAACCAAAAAGTTATTACGACAAAAATGGACGACGAAAAAAGAGAGAGCCAAAAAAAGTTAGAAAAAGGCGTTAAAAAAGTGTTAAAACACGACAAGGCAACCTAAAAAGGTGACAAAGAAAAAAGGGACAAAAAGCAACCAAAAAAGGCGACAAAAATGGTAAAAAAAGCTAAACAAATTTGGGAAAAAATGTCGGAAGAAAGTGACAAAAAATATAATAGCCAAACAAGGCGACCAAAAAACGAGCAAAAAAGGGAAAAAGGAGACAAAAATGGCAGGAAAAAACGAGCAAAAAAAGTGTGATAAAAAAAACGAAACTAAAGGCAACCAAAAAACAAACGAAAATAGCGAAATCAAAGCCACAAAAAAAAGCGACAATAAAGAGCGGCAAAAGCCAAAAAAAAAACAACAAAAAATGCGTAACAAAGAAAAAAACGAAAAAAAATGCGAAAAAAAGCAATGAAGCAATTGCAAACAAAGAAGAAACAATAAAGTGTAAAAAGCGACAAAACTAAAAACTGGCGAATTCAAAGCCATAAGAAAAGCCACAAAAAATCGATTAAACTTTTTTAAAATTAAACATCCTATATTTCACGACATTCTCGAATTCGTTTCTGAGTAAGTTTATAACATCTGGACGGTGGGGTTTATTTTAGCGATAATTAAACAAAAATGACAAATTTGACAAATTTCGAATTAAAAAAAACTTGACTGGAAAGAAATTCAAAACTGTATGCAATATAACGGCCGTTTCGAAAAATGTGAGGAAACTAACAATTTGCAAATTTAATCACCTTGTATAAATGAGTTAAAAGAATGACTTTTCTTTTGACATAACAAAGTAAGTAAGAAGCATCCGAAATACTTAGTATATTTGAAAACTCGACTTTTTACTCCCGAATGCAAGCTAAGGATTGTGATAAATCCTAGAGTATGAAAAAATAGGACTCCCGTTTCCGTGCCCTTCAAGATTAAATTATGTGTCAACAGCTAGTAATTCCATAAAGTGTCTTTTCCATTCATGTATTTTGATTTTCCTACTGACTTCAGTCTTCCTTCTCCGTTCCTTGTTTATGTATCTCCATACTTCTTCTTCTGTTTTCAGGGACTTTATGATCTTCTCTTCTTCTTCTCGTTTTTCTCTTTTTCTTTCTTCACATTCCTTTTAAGTACTCTTCTGTCCTTCCCCTGTTATTCTTCCATTTTCTTAATTTTTCCATTGCGTTTCTCTTTAATTCACTACCTTCTCCGTTCTATCCATTATTCCTCCCTTGCCATATGTATATTTTTCTTTTTTTCATAGCTTTTCAAATTAAGTTGATCAGTGCTGCTATCATAGCTTTTATGTCTTCTTTTACTTCGAATTTCTTTTTTTCTAGTCTATTTCTGTATCTTTGAATTCCCTTTTCATACCATCTTCTTTTTTCTTTCTTTCGTTTCTTCTCTCTTGTTTTTCGTACTCTTGCTTTTTTCCTTTGATTTTTATTTCTAATGGCATGTGGTTTAATTCTACCCTTGCCCCCACTTTGTAACTCTCTATTTCTTCCCACGCCTCTTCGTTGACAATCCCATAGTCTATAATTGATTCTCCTCTAGCCCCTACGTATGTCCATTCTCCTTCTTCATCTCATTCCTTGTTTTCATTCAAAATTTCCCATCCGATTTCTTCTATTATCTTCCAAAACATTTTCCCTTCTTTGTTATTTACTTTGTCCTTTGATCCTCTTTTCTCTTCCTTTTCTTTATCTATTATTCTTGTCTCCTTATCGACCAATCTTGCGTTAAAATCCCCTCCTATAAGTATTTTTTCATCTCCTTTTTCTGTTGTTTCCTTAACTATGTTTATCTTGGTTTCTTCCATTTTCTTGCTATAAACGATTATTATTTCCCATCGATTGTTATTCAGCTGTATTACTTTCTTCATTAGCCCGTTTTTATTATTACTTCCCTTTTCCAATTCTTGTATTTCTTTCCGAATTCCCATTACTATTCCCCCGCTTGCTCTCCCCTTTTTCTTTTCCTTTGTCGCCTCTTGACACTCCCACACATATTCTTGTGGTAGTGTTTCTTCAAATTTCTCCCAGTTTTCTCTTTGTACCCATGTCTCTACTAACCCCACCAAATCAAATTCTTCCACGTAGTCCCAGTACTCCTTTCCCTTTTTTCGCAACCCTTGGACATTCCAAAACAGTACCTTCACCACTTTTTCTCCGAATTTTGTACCAGCTTCCCTTTTTCGCTTTCCCTATCTGCATCCTTTATTCCTTTGCCTTGTTTTCTTCCATTTTTCCTCCTTTTCTTCCTTTCTACTTCGCCCACTCTCTTTCCCATTTCTTTCTTAGCTCGCTTCCATTCTTCATGTTTATCTCTAATTTCGGCTCTGCACTTTTTGCACTTCTACTGAATTTTTACACACGAACTCCTACGCACACGTTTGTTCGGTTTGGCGGTCAATTGGGAATTCGAAAAAAAAAACTAGTCAAAATATAGTATTTAAAATTTTCTATATAAAGAGGGTCACAATTGGTTAAACCTTTTTAAAAATTAGGGTTTGTGGTTTAGGGACTAACACAACACCATAAACACCAGTTAAATCCAGCGCTGAGGAATCAGGTCGTTCGATTTTAAAGTCCCTCACAACATTAGCAACAAATAGTGACATCACCGTCTGTGCTATTTCTTTCCCAAGACACATTCTCTTCCCTGAAAAAAATTACTACATCTACTTCCAATCGTCTACAATTCCCGTTTTACCGCTTTGAAACGGAAGGAACGACTCCGGTTCGAAAAATTTCCTTCGTCGTCCAAAAACCTTCCAGGACGAAACTCGTCCGGCTTCTCGTGGACGTTTGGATCCATGTGGATAGCCCACAACAATGGCAATATCATAGCGCCTTTTGGGATTGTAAAACCTTCAACAGAAATAGTTTCGGAGACAGAGTGTGGCAATCCTGTTGGTGCCAAAGTCCTAATTCTGGCTGTTTCAGCAATGGTTGCCCTAGTGTAATGTAAGTTAGCAAAGTCGTCCATTGTCACTGTTTCACCTCGCGATACCTCAAGGAGTTCTTGTCGGACTTTATCTTGCACTTCGTGGTACTGCGCCAGGAATAGTAGTATCCAAAGTAAGGACGTGATTATGGGTTCGTTGAAAGTCATGAATAGGTCGTAAATCAGGTGTTGCAGCTGGTCGAAATTGTAAATAGGGTGAGTCATTTGTTGCTGAAACGTTTCAACTAAATTTGGCACACCATCTTTACTAGATTTTTCATAGTCATTTATTAGTTTCTTTTGATTTTGGCGTACTTTGTTGACGGATTTTTTTGCCGAAGATAGTGTTTCTTTGAAGTGTGGTAAGACACTATAACAACCAGTTTTAAATGTATGTACTAATCTGGATTAAATGTTTACGTACCGTAAAAATGGCAAAAAGTTCAGTGGACCTCTAAATGTTACGGACGCAACTTTCTCACCACCGGTAACCGTTTTGTCTTCCTGTGAAGACTGTTTTCCTACAAGTAACACATCAGCGATGCTATTTGCATACTGAGTTACAAGTTTTGAAGGAGTGACTGGTACACCATGAGTTTGACTTTTCATAACCTAATTAATTAAAAAAAATAATTTAATTTTAATAGTTGTAGACTATAGAACTTACTTGTACAATTTTTTCAACCTGGTTTGTCACCAACATCTCCCACTTTTTCCTATTTGGTGAAACTTTAGTGATCCCAGCCGTTTTCAAAAAATTTGCTAAAAATTTGCGTTGGTCCTTCCATAGATCAACAGACGTGAAGACGAGTCCTGCAAAAACAATTAAGTTTCCAAAGGTATATTTTTGGCAAGCTGCACCTTTATTTTCGAATACTGTGTCTATAATGTAGAGCGAAGGTCTTCCGAGGGTTTCATCCTTTGCTAAGACTTTTTTCAATATTTTGACGTCGGCTATGACGACAGCGTTAATCAAGCCAAGTTTGATGTTGTAAACAGGTCCGTATTTTTGGGCGAGTTTTGTTAAACTCAGGTGTGGTGATTTTGGATCCAGTTTGTGTAAGTAGCCTAAAATGGGCAAATTCCGTGGACCTGGGAGAGTTTTTTTGGCACGGAAAGATTTCATTAGTAGGAATAGTATTAGTAGGGCACATACAGTTACTATCATTGTTCTTTACTTTGTTATACAATGTAGATTACAAAGAATGCTTCATCAGACTGAAGTTTATCTTCACTATTTTGCATAAAATAATTGTAATAAAATTACGCCGAAATTTAGCAATACATTGTGAAAACACGTAAACATATTATTATATTAAAGCAAACATTTTAATTTGTCGATCTTGCAATGATTGTATCAATTTGCATATGCAATGACACCACGTGCACATTTTTTCCAAGATTGGTCTTGGAATAGATCTTGGGATCTATTTTATGTAAAAGTTATTTTTTGAGAAAACACACATTCTTTTACCCATAGTATACTTGCATTCGTAATTATGGCACCTGTTCCATCTTACCAATCTGAAAAGGAAGAAATTATTCACGTTTGCAAAATTTGCCATCGCTGTCCAAAAATTTTTCCGGACGAAATTCTTCCGGTTGTTAGTAAACATTTGTAGTATTTAGTATGAACACTATTATTATGACAAATAGAATCGCCAACATTTAAAACTCAAGTTGTTCCTTTATTTTTGTAAGTGGAAAATATATAGTACTTCCGTTCATAAGATTTGACACTTCCGGAATTTTAAGATCGGATACATGTGGTTTATTCTAAATGCGTTACAATGTAACGTAAGCGTGCTTTATCTGTTGGTTAAAGTTCAAGAAATTACGATTATTTATTAATTGATACATTGTTGCAGATATCAGGTCAAGGAAGCAATACTTATAGACTCGAATTATATGTCTCAAAAGAACGCACAAATATATCTACACATAAAATGCACACATTTTTGGTCAAAATATTAAAAATATGCAAGACATGCATATACAAAATACATTATTGACTCAATCATTAAATTATGATTAGCCCCACCCACCTTCTTTCTCCATTTCACCGACAATTTTATTACCTGTAAAATCACCCACCCATATTCCGTGACCGGTCATTTTATTGGCCCTGAGAGAGAATTTGGATTTTATATTGACAAATAATAGAATCTAAGATTACATTTCTTTTTATAAATTTCGGTCTTGTATGTTTATTTAACTCCAGCTTAACAGTTTCTAGATAACTTGTGTAACAATTTGTGTATTTATGTAGTTGGTTAAATGCTAACCAAAATTTTGCTAATCATCCTCACCAACAATTTGATGACGTCATTTCAAAGAATTCTATGTTTATTTGATTTCACTATTATACAACAATATAGTCCTATAAGAGTGGTGCATGAATCCGCTTTGAAATCATAATGTATGGTATGACAGTTTACCATTAGATTAAGGCATCCCGGTCGTGGTGTAGTGATTACGAGTTAGGAATGCGGTTGCAATTTTGTTTCTACCGATACGATACGAAGCGATAAATGACAAGGACGAAAATATAAATTTCAGATGTGAAAGAAAAAGACGACCACATTTTATCGGTACATACCGAAATTTTATCGCTATAGAAACAAAATCCCTGGGGTGGGATATCTACAACGATATTTCTTTCGCATATGAAATTTATATTTTCGTCCTTGTCATTTATCGCTTCGTTATCGTATCGTAACGGTAGAAACAAAATGCCACCCCAGACGTCGCGCGGTCGATTCCAAACTTGGCTTTCGTTTTTTTTTTCTCTTTTTCTCTCGAATTGTGTACTATCTACGTTTATGAAGTCATAACAAATTTTTACTTCCCGAGCGTAAGCAAAGGAAGTATTGTAATCGAGTCCGTCGGCCGACTCTCTACTTTTACGTTTTCTCGATCTTTCATGACCCCTAGAAGACGAAGAAATAGGTCTCCCATTTCCGTCTGTCTGTCCGTCTGTCCGTCTGTCCGTCTGTCCGTCCGTCTGTCCGTCTGTCCGTCTGTCCGTCCGTCTGTCCGTCTGTCCGTCCGTCTGTCCGTCTGTCCGTCTGTCCGTCTGTCCGTCCGTCTGTCCGTCTGTCCGTCCGTCTGTCCGTCTGTTGTCCCGGATTTTTATTAGACAGATAATCTCCGAAAGTACTCGACCGATTGTTGTGAAATTTTGTACTTATATTAAGAATATCATGTAGATGGTAAAACGCTAACCAAAATTTGTCTAATCATCCCCACCACTAATGCGATGACGTCACTTCAAAATTGTACATAGTAAATGGGTTTTCAATTGTATAAAATAACATAGTCCTACACATGTAGTTTACAACTCCGAATCGACTTTTCACCCGAAACGTCCAGATTTTTGGAAAAAAAATCAAAATTATAAAACAACATTTTGAAATTTAATTTTTAATCTGCTAACCAGAATGCTTTGAAATGTTGCAGATGTTTTAAGGCTATAAAGAGCATCATAAATCTTTAGTCAAAAAATATTTGCTTACCCCCTCCAAAAACTTGATGACGTCAGCTCAAAAGTTTGTGGAATAAATCATATCTAAAATGTACAAAATATGATGAGTCTGTACTTGTGATCTATCACTCCATTCATATTTTTTGGATTTGCATATACAGGGTGACTCAAAAAAATTAATGAATGCGTAAATATATTTTATTGATTTAATCAGGAACTACAAAACCGAATGCTCTGAAATCTTGCAGATGTTTTAAGGTCATAAAGAGCATAATAAATGTTTAGTCAAAATATATTTGCTTATCCCCTCCAAAAACTTGATGACGTCAGCTCGAAAGTTTGCCGAATAAATCTTATCTAAACTGTACAAAATATGATGAGTCTGTACTTGTAATTTATCACTCCATTCATATTTTTTGGATTTGCATATACAGGGTGACTCAAAAAAATTAATGAATGCGTAAATTTATTTTTTCGATTTAATCATGAACTGCAAAACCGAATGCTTTGAAATCTTGCAGATGTTTTAAGGTTATAAAGAGCATAATAAATGTTTAGTCAAAATACATTTGCTTATCCCCTCCAAAAAATTGATGACGTCAGCTCGAAAGTTTGCCGAATAAATCATATCTAAAATGTACAAAATATGATGAGTCTGTACTTGTGATCTATCACTCCATTCATATTTTTTGGATTTGCATATACAGGGTGACTCAAAAAAATTAATGAATGCGTAAATTTATTTTACTGATTTACTCAGAAACAACAAAACCGAATTCTTTGAAATCCACTGCGAAAAAAAAAACATAATAGGCATGCAGTCGTCACGTTTCCGACAGCGAGGGAAGTACTGTCGAAACTCTTTAGACCAATTTTTAATTGATGAAATTACCCCACTTTCCCGAAAAGGTGACAATACGGCCCTCTTTATTTGAAAATGTAAAACCTTCTGGAGGGCGTCAAATATTTTTTTTAAGAATGTGAAATCTTCTCGGGAGCCATAACGGTCTTTTTTAAAACTCTATAACCTTCTCGGGGGCGCCAGATGTCTTTTTTTTTCAAGTAAAACCTTGTCGGAGGTCCCAAGTGTATTTTTTAACAATGTAAAACCTTCTCAGGGGGCCCCAGTATATATTTTTTTTTTGGAATGTGAAACCTTCTCAGAGGTCCCAACTGTCCTATTTTAAAAATGTAAAACCTTCTCAGGGACACCAAATGTCTATTTTTTTTATGTGAAACTTTCTCGGGAGTCCCAACAATCTTTTTTAAAAATTGAAAACCTTCTCGAGGGTGCCAAATGTCTTTTTTTCAAGTAAAATTTTCTCGGGGATCCCAACTGTATTTTTTAACAATGTAAAACCTTCTCGGGGGGCACCAATATATATTTCTTTTTTGGAATGTGAAACCTTCTCGGTGGTCCCAACGGTTTTTTTGAAACTCTAAAACCTTCTCGGGCGTCCCAAATTTAATGTTTTTTTATATGAAACCTTCTCAGAGGTCCCAACTGTCTTATTTTAAAAATGTAAAACCTTTTCAGGGGCACCAAATGTCTTTTTTTTTAATGTGAAACCTTCTCGGGAGTCCCAACGATCTTTTTTAAAAATTGAAAACTTTCTCGAGGGCACCAAATATCTTTTTTTTTCAAGTAAAATCTTCTCGGGGATCCCCCAACTGTATTTTTTAACAATGTATAACCTTCTCGGTGCTCCCCAATGTTTGTATTTTTTTTTTTTAATATGAAACCTTCTCGGCAGCCACAACGGTCTTTTTTAAAAATCTAAAACCTTCTCGGGGGCGCCAAATGTCTTTTTTTCAAGTAAAACCTTCTCGGGGGTCCCAACTGTATTTTTTAACAATGTAAAACCTTCTCGGGGGGGCCCAATATATTTTTTTTGGAATGTGACACCTTCTCAGTATCCCAACGGTTTTTTTGAAAATCTAAAACCTTCTCGGGGCGCCAAATGTCTCTTTTTTTTAAATGTAAAACCTTCTCGGGAGTACCAAATGGTTTTTTTTTTATATGAAACATTCTCACAGGTCCCAACTATTTTATTTTAAAAATGTAAAACCTTCTCAGGGGCACCAAATGTCTTTTTTTTATGTGAAACCTTGTCGGGAGTCCCAACGATCTTTTTTAAAAAATTAAAAACCTTCTCGAAGGGGCCAAATGTCTTTTTTTCAAGTAAAACCTTCTTGGGGTTACCAACTGTATTTTTTAACAATGTAAAACCTTCTCAGGGCACCAAATGTCTTTTTTTTAGTGTGAAACCTTCTCGGGAGTCCCAAAGATCTTTTTTAAAATTGAAAACCTTCTCGAGGGCGCCAAATGTCTTTTTTTTCAAATAAAACCTTCTCGGGGTTCCCAACTGTATTTTTTAACAACGTAAAACCTTCTCGGGGGGCACCAATATATTTTTTTTTTTGGAATGTGAAACCTTCTCGGTGGTCCCAATGGTTTTTTTGAAAATCTAAAACCTTCTCAGGGGCACCAAATGTCTTTTTTTAATGTGAAACCTTCTCGGGAGTCCCAACGATCTTTTTAAAAATTTAAAACCTTCTCGAGGGCGCCAAATGTCTTTTTTTCAAGTAAAACCTTCTCGGGGGTCCCAACTGTATTTTTTAACAATGTAAAACCTTCTCGGGGGGGGGCAATATATTTTTTTTGGAATGTGACACCTTCTCAGTATCCCAACGGTTTTTTTGAAAATCTAAAACCTTCTCGGGGCGCCAAATGTCTCTTTTTTTAAAATGTAAAACCTTCTCGGGAGTCCCAAATGGTTTTTTTTTTATATGAAACATTCTCACAGGTCCCAACTATTTTATTTTAAAAATGTAAAACCTTCTCAGGGGCACCAAATGTCTTTTTTTTAATGTGAAACCTTGTCGGGAGTCCCAACGATCTTTTTTAAAAAATTAAAAACCTTCTCGATGGGACCAAATGTCTTTTTTTCAAGTAAAACCTTCTTGGGGTTACCAACTGTACTTTTTAACAATGTAAAACCTTCTCAGGGCACCAAATGTCTTTTTTTTAGTGTGAAACCTTCTCGGGAGTCCCAAAGATCTTTTTTAAAATTGAAAACCTTCTCGAGGGCGCCAAATGTCTTTTTTTTCAAATAAAACCTTCTCGGGGTTCCCAACTGTATTTTTTAACAATGTAAAACCTTCTCGGGGGGCACCAATATATATTTTTTTTTGAATGTGAAACCTTCTCGGTGGTCCCAATGTTTTTTTTGAAAATCTAAAACCTTCTCAGGGGCACCAAATGTCTTTTTTTAATGTGAAACCTTCTCGGGAGTCCCAACGATCTTTTTAAAAATTTAAAACCTTCTCGAGGGCGCCAAATGTCTTTTTCTTCAAGTAGAACCTTCTCGGGGGTCCCAACTGTCTTATTTTAATAATGCAAAAGCTTCTCAGGAGTACCAAATGTCTTTTTTTTATGTGAAACCTTCTCGGGTGTCCCAACGATTTTTTTTTTTTTTAATTTAAAACCTTCTCGAGGGCGCCAAATGTCTTTTTTTTTCAAGTAAAACCTTCTCGGGGTTCCCAACTGTATTTTTTAACAATGTAAAATCTTCTCGGAGGGCACCAATATACTTTTTTTTTTTTTGGAATGTGAAACCTTCTCGGTGGTCCCAACGGTTTTTTGAAAATCTAAAACCTTCTCGGGGGCACCAAATGTCTCTTTTTTTCAAGTAGAACCTTCTCGGGGGTCCCAACTGTATTTTTTTTTTTAATGTAAAACCTTCTCGAAGGCCTCAAATGTATGTTTTTAAGAATGTGAAACCTTCTCAAGGGTCCCAAAAGTCGTTTTTAAAAATCTAAAACCTTCTCGGGGGCGCCAAATGTCTCCTTTTTTTTCAAGTAGAACCTTCTCGGGGATCCTAACTGTCTTATTTTAATAATGCAAAACCTTCTCAGGGGTCCCAAATGTCTTTTTTTTTAATGTGAAACCTTCTCGGGTGTCTCAACGATTTTTTTTTAATCTAAAACCTTCTCTAGGGCGCCAAATGTCTATTTTTTCAAGTAAAACCTTCTCGGGGTTCCCAACTGTATTTTTTAACAATGTAAAACCTTCTCGGGGGGGGGGGCAATATATATTTTTTTTAGAATGTGAAACCTTCTCGGTGATCCCAACGGTTTTTTCGAAAATCTAAAACCTTCGCGGGGGCACCAAATGTCTCTTTTTTTCAAGTAGAACCTTCTCGGGGGTCCCAAATGTATTTTTTTTAATGTAAAACCTTCTCGAAGGCCTCAAATGTATGTTTTCAAGAATGTCAAACCTTCTCAAGGGTCCCAAAAGTCGTTTTTAAAAATGTAAAACCTTCTCGGAGACGCCAACTGCCTTTTTTAAGAATATAACAATATAATCTTGGGGTTATTCAGTTTTGATAAGGGAATGTCGGCTCTGAGGAATGCTTCACATATAACGAGCGTTCAAATAAAAACGGCGTCAAGCTGGCTTTGTAAATGTGAATTTAGGGCTTACTGAATGATTCGTTCACATTTCGAAAGCCAATTTGACGTCGTTTTTATTTCAACGCTCGTTATATTACAATATTCTTCTTGATCTGGCATCTTCTGGATGTGGTAGAAAGATTCTGCTCCCAGACTTTGTGACTTCACATTAGTAGAATTCTTCAGCTTATTTTTGTGAAGGCTTGCCCCAATTAGCTGAGTTCTGAGTTATCGAAAACTTCTTATCATAGGTGACCTGAACAATAAAATTAATTCATATCGTGCATGCTTTATTTCTCGGGTTTAATTAAAAGCAATAAGATATCAATAAATCAAAGCAAATATTTGAAATCGGAATTAATAAATAAATAAAATAATGTTACCTTGAGAGGGGAACCAACAATACACCAATGTTTGAAATTTGGTGTGAAAATCAAACTCTAGCAGTGCTGCCAGCCCCTAGGCTTCAAATATCCGCTTTATAACATTAACAACAAATTAAAACACAATTTTAAATAATAAGCACCTATTTACTGTTCATTATCCATTTATTAACACAATAACGTAACACAATGTTAAATATGCCAGTGTTATAAACAATAAATGTCAAAAAAACATTTTTGACATCTGATGTAATCAGGATATTGGCAACGTCGCAACCATTTGGCGGGATAGCGTCATTGTATTTGTACCCGGTCGGATTTCATCAACTGTTCTACAATCACAACTTATTTGATTTCATACCGAGTGTTGCAACAATAACAAAAAATGGGTGATAAAGGCGACGCCGGTGAGTAATCCGCTATAATTTTCTCCAATTCACGTATATCCATAACCTCAAACATAATAGCCGATTCTCGCCACTTTTTCTTAACACAAAAGGCCTGTTCGTGCACAAACCCACCCCAACCCTCCATAAACCCCATTTATAGCCCGCTTTGCCTCTTCCAGAGACCTTCGACGATGCCGTTGAAGAACGAGTCATCAACGAAGAATACAAAATCTGGAAGAAAAACACCCCTTTCTTGTACGACCTGGTGATGACACACGCTCTGGAGTGGCCATCCTTGACCGCCCAGTGGCTCCCCGACGTGACAAGACCCGAAGGCAAAGACCATTCCATTCACCGACTAATCCTGGGCACTCACACTTCGGACGAGCAAAACCACCTACTGATAGCGAGCGTGCAGCTGCCGAACGAAGACGCCCAGTTCGACGCTTCTCACTACGACAACGAGAAGGGCGAATTCGGGGGCTTCGGCTCGGTTTCAGGGAAGATAGAAATCGAGATTAAAATCAACCACGAGGGCGAAGTCAACAGGGCGAGGTACATGCCCCAGAACCCTTGCGTCATCGCCACGAAAACCCCCTCAAGCGACGTGCTTGTCTTTGATTACACAAAGCACCCCAGCAAGCCGGACCCCAACGGCGAATGTCACCCGGATTTGCGGTTGAGGGGGCACCAGAAGGAGGGGTACGGCTTGTCGTGGAACCCTAACCTCAACGGGTACTTGCTGTCGGCTAGTGACGACCACACGATTTGTCTGTGGGATATCAACGCCACTCCGAAGGAAAATCGGATTATTGATGCTAAGACGATTTTCACGGGGCACACGGCGGTGGTTGAGGACGTCGCTTGGCACTTGTTGCACGAGAGCCTGTTCGGGTCGGTGGCCGATGACCAGAAGTTGATGATTTGGGATACTCGGTGCAACAACACGAGCAAACCGTCGCACACTGTGGACGCACACACGGCTGAAGTTAACTGCTTGAGTTTCAACCCCTACTCCGAATTTATTTTGGCTACGGGGAGCGCCGACAAGACTGTGGCTTTGTGGGATTTGAGAAACTTGAAGCTGAAGCTTCACAGCTTTGAGTCGCATAAAGACGAAATTTTCCAAGTGCAGTGGAGCCCCCATAATGAGACCATTTTGGCGTCTTCAGGCACCGACAGGAGGCTGCACGTGTGGGATTTGAGCAAGATCGGGGAAGAACAGAGCCCTGAGGACGCGGAGGACGGGCCCCCCGAGCTGCTTTTCATCCATGGGGGACACACTGCCAAGATTTCAGGTAATTTCGATATTGTTGCTGTAGTTGTAAATTTATTTTGTGTGTAGATTTCAGCTGGAATCCCAACGAGCCCTGGGTCATCTGCTCAGTGTCCGAGGATAATATCATGCAGGTGTGGCAAATGGCCGAGAATATATATAATGATGAAGAACCTGAGCAACAGGCCGATATGGAGACTCCCGCTAATTAGGTGTTTTAACTTATTTTGTTAGTTTATAGTGTTACCTGTAATGTTTACATTCTTTCTTTGGAACATTTTCTTCATGTTGAAATGTGATTTTCTCAGTTTATGTCTGCACTTGTTTGCGCGCTGTAAAACCATGATTTTGGAGATAGATTTTAAGTATTTTTACAAATAAACAAGTAATCGTCAAAAAGTAGTTCTGAGTTTTATTACGAATTCCCCAAATTTGGAAAAGATGACGCAATTCACTCCAAAAAAAAAAAACAATTTACGTCAAAAAATAAATGGCAACGCTGTAACGTAAATATTTGTCAAAAAGTTGTACTTGGTCATGTTTGTCACTTCTCAACAATGAATTAAAATATTGTTGGTCTACTAGATCTTTCTGTCTATTTGGTATTTTATCTGTTTGTCTATCTGTCTCTTTTGTTTTGTCTATTCTGGTTTCGATTTCCTGTCAGCTATCTTTCAAATCTTTCCAATCTGTTTATCTTATTCTATTTATTCTGTCTTTCCTGTCTACCCAATCTGTCTTTTCTATCTATGCAATTTGCTTTCTTTTCTGTGTGATCTCTTTTTCTTGTGGATTTAGTATGTCTTTCCTGCGTATGTCATCTGTTCCATCTGTTCGTCATATCTGTCTCTCTTTCTTGTCTACCTGATATGTCTTTCTTTTACATCCGGTCTTTCTTTCAGGTTATATCAGGCGCCTTTCGTGCATATCTAATCTATCTTTCCTATCTATCTGGTCTGACATCGGTTTCATCCGTTTATCTATCTGTCTGTCTCTCTTTTTGTCTATTTGGTCTCTATTTTCTGTCTGTCTTTTCCTAATATCCCTATTTCCTGAAAATCCAGCTGTCTACCCTATCTGTTTATCTTATTCTATTTATTCTGTCTTTCTACTCTCCGGCCTGTCTTAATTTCCTGTCTACCCAATCTGTCTTTTCTATCTATTCGGTTTGTCTTTCTTTTCTGTATGTTCTGTTTTTTCTGTGAATCTAGTATTTTCCTGCGTATCCGGTCTGTCATTATTGTTTATCCTCTCCGTCATCTATTCCATCTGTAGTCCTATCTGTCCCTCTTTCTTGTCTGTCTGATCGGTCTTTCTTTTATATCTGGTTTATTTTTCAGGAACATCAAACGTCTTTCCTCTAGTCCTAGTCTGTCTTTCTTTTCTATCAGCTCTGTCTTTCCTGTCTATCTGGCCTGACATCTGTTTCATCTGTTTGTCTGTCCATCTGTCTCTTTTCTACATGATCGTTTTCCGGGTTGGAACCGTGTTAATTGAGTTTTTGGGCTCAACATTTCGCACACTTTCGTCCTTTTCGTCCTTCGTTATTTTCGTCCCTCCTCCTTTTTCGTCTCTCTTCCTGTTCATCCTTCGTTCTATTTTGTCCTTCGTCCTTTTTCATTCATCGTCCTTTTAGTCCTTCGTCCATATCGTCCTTCGTCCTTTGTCCATATCGTCCTTCGTCCTTTCAGTCCTTCGTTCTTTTCGTCTTTCGTCCTTTTCGTCCTTCGTCCTTTTCGTCCCTCCTCCTTTTCGTCCTTTGTCGTTTTTGTCCTTCGTCCTTTTCTTCTTTCGTCCTTTTCGTTATTCGTCTTGCGTCGTTTTTCGTCCTTCGTCCTTTTCCTCCTTTTAATCCCTTTTGTACTTTTCGTCCTTTTCGACCATTTCATCCTTTTCGTCCTTCGTCCTTTTCGTCCTTTTTGTCCTTCGTCCTTTTCGTCCTTCGTCTTTTTCGTCTTTCGTCCTTCGTCTTTTTCGTCTTTCGTCCTTCGTCCTTTTCGTCCCTCCTCCTTTTTCGTCCCTCCTCCTTTTCGTCCTTCGTCCTTTTCGTCCTTCGTTGTTTTCGTCCTTCGTCCTTTTCGTCATTCGTCCTGCGTCCTTTTTCGTCCTTCGTCCTTTTCGTCATTTTAATCCCTTTTGTACTTTTCGTCCTTTTTGTTCATTTCATCCCTTTCGTCCATATCGTCCATCGTCCTTTTCGTACTTGGTCCTTTTCGTCCTTCCTCCTTTTCGTTCTTTGTTCTTTTTGTTCTTCTTCCTTTTCGTCCTTCATCTTTTTCGTCCATCTTCCTTTTCGTCTTTCATCCTTTTTCGTCCTTCGTCCTTTTCGTCCTTCGTCGTTTTCGTCCATTTCGTCATTTTAATGCTTTTTGTCCTTTTCGTCCGTCGTCTTTTCGTCTTTTTCGTCCTTTGTCTTTTTCGTCCTTCGTCCTTTTCGTCCTTTTTGTCAATCGTCCTTTTCGTCCATCGTCCTTTTCCTCCTTCGTCCTTTTCGTCTTTCGTCCTTTTTCTTCCTTCGTCCTTTTTCGTCCATCGTTCTTTTCGTCCCTTTCGTCCTTCGTCCTTCGTCCATATCTACCTTCGGCCTTTTCGTCCTTCGTCCAAATCTACCTTCGTCCTTTTGGTCCTTCGTATTTTTCGTTGAAAAGAAGGAGGGACGAAAAGGACGAAAGACGAAAAGGACGAAGGACAAAAAGGACGAAGGACGAAAAGGGCGAAGAACGAAAAGGACGAAGGACGAAAAGGAGGGACGAAAAGAAGGAAGGACGAAAAGGACGAAAGACGAAAAGGATGAAGGAAGAAAAGGACGAAGGACGATATGGACGAAGGACCAAAAATACGAAGGACGAAAAGGACGAAGAACGATATGGACGATGGACGATTTGGACGAAGGACGATATGGACGAAAAGGACAAAGCATTAAAAGGACGATATGGACAAAGGACGACATGGACGAAAAAACGAAAAGACGAAAAGGTCGAAAAAACGAAAAGACGAAAAGGACAAAAAGCATTAAAAGGACGAAAGGACGAAAAGGCCGAAAGGACGAAAAGGACGAAGGACGAAAAGGACGAAGGACGAAAAGGACGAAAAAGACGAACAACGAAAAGGACGAAGGACGAAAAGGACGATGGACGAAAAGGATGAAATGGACGAAAAGTACAAAAGGGATTAAAAAGAGGAAAAGGACGAAGGACGAAAAAGGATGAAGGACGAAAAACGACGCTGGACGAATAACGAAAAGGACGAAAGACGAAAAGGATGAAGGATCAAAAGGATGAAGGACGATATAGACGAAGAACGAAAAAGGACGAAGGACGAAATGGACGAAGGACGAAAAGGACAAAAAGCATTAAGAGGACCAAATGGACGAAAAGGACGAAGGACAAAAAGGACGAAGGACGAAAAGGGCGAAGGACAAAAAGGACGATGGACGAAAAAGGACGAAGGACAAAAGAGGACGAAGTACAAAAGAGGACGAAGGACAAATGAGGACGAAGGGCAAAAAAGGATGAAAAGGACTAAGGACGGAAAGTACGATGGACGAAAAAGGACGAAGGACGAAAAAAACGAAGGACTAAAAGGACGAAGGACGATATGGACAAAGGACGAACGACGAAAAGGACGAAGGACGAAAAGGACGAAGGACGAAAAGGACGAAGGACGAAAAGGACGAAGGACGAAAAGGACGAAGGACGAAAAGGACGAAGGACCAAAAATACGAAGGACCAAAAATACGAGGGACGAAAAGGACGAAGGACGATATGGACGAAGGATGAAAAGGACGAAGGACTAAAAGGACGATGAATGAAAAAGGACGAAGGACAAAAAAGAACGAAGGACGAACAGGAGGAGAGACGAAAAAGGAGGAGGGACGAAAAAGACGAAGGACGAAAAGGACGAAAGTGTGCGAAACGTTGAGCCCAAAAACTCAATTAACACGGTTCCAACCCGGAAAACGATCATGTAGAAAAGAGACAGATGGACAGACAAACAGATGAAACAGATGTCAGACCAGATAGACAGGACGGTAGACGAAAAGGAGGGACGAAAAGAAGGAAGGGCGAAAAGGACGAAAAACGAAAAGGATGAAGGACGAAAAGGACGAAGGACGATATGGACGAAGGACCAAAAATACGAAGGACGAAAAGGACGAAGAACGATATGGACAATGGACGAAGGACGAAAAGGACGAAAAGGACCAAAGACGAAAAAGGACCAAGGACGAAAAGAACCAAGGACGAAAAAGGACCAAGGACAAAAAGGACGAGGACGAAAAGGACGAAGGACGAAAAGGACAAGGGACGAAAAAGACGAAGGATGAAAAGGGCGAAGAACGAAAAGGACGAAGAACGAAAAGGACGAAAGACTAAAATAACGAAGGACGACAAGGCCGAAGGACGAAAAGGACGATGGACGAAAAAGGACGAAGGACAAAAGAGGACGAAGGACAAAAGAGGACGAAGAACAAAAGAGGACGAAGGACAAAAGAGGACGAAGGGCAAAAAAGGATGAAAAGGACCAAGGACGAAAAGTACGATGGACGAAAAAGGACGAACAACGCTAAGGACGAAGGGCCACAAGGATGAAGGACGAAAGGGATGAAATACGAAGATTTTCGCCTCTGGTATGGTTGACATTCTGAATTACCGTGCTCTTTTGCCTTATTCTTAATCCTGCTCCTGAAGATGCCACTTACGAAAGTCTGCGAAACGTTGAGCCCAAAAACTCAGTTAACACGGTTACAACCGGAAAAACGATCATGTATTGATTCCGACCGTGCAAGCTTCCGAAATTATGTGTCTTTTTTGTTTATTTGGTCTCTATTTCCTGTCTGTCTTTTCCTTATATCTGTATTTCCTGAATGTCCAACTGTTTTTCAAATTTATCAGATCTCTTTATCTTATTTTATTTAATCTGTCATTCCAGTCTCCGGTCTGTCTTTCCTGTCTACTCAATTTGTCGTTTCAATCTATCCGGTTTGCCTTTCTTTTCTGTGTGGTCTGTTTTTCTCTTAAATCTAGTATGTCTTTCCTGGGTGTCCGGTCTGCCATTATTGTTTATCCAGTCTGTCATGTTTTCCATCTATTCATCCTGTCTGTCAATCTTTCCTATCTATCTGATATGTCTTTCTTTTATATCCGGTCTTTCTTTCAGGTACTAATTCAAGCGTCTTTCCTGTATACCTAGTCTGTCTTTCCTTTCTATCAGTTCTTTATCAATCTGTCTCTTATTTTTTCTGTCTAGTTATTTGTCCTCTATTTCTTGTTTATCTTTTCCCTATGTCCATATTTCCTGAATATCAAGCTGTCTTGTACATCTATCCGATCTGTTTATTCTATTTTCTTTAGTCTGTCGTTCCACTCTTCGGTCTGTCTTCCTGTCCATTCAATCTATCGTTTCTGTCTATCCGGCTTCTCCTGCTTTTCTTGTGGATCTCGTATGCCTCTCTTGAGTATGCGGTCTGTCATTATTGTTTATCCAATCTGTCATCTGTTCCATTTGTTCGTCCTATGTACCTTTCTTTTATACTTTTTTATATATATCTAGTCTGTCATCTGTTTGATATGTTTTCTGTCTATCTGGTCTCTGTTTCCTGTTTGTCTTTCATATCTAGCCGCTCTGTTTATCCTGTCTATACAGTATGTCTTTCCACCCTCTCATCTGTATTTATCCCATCTATCTTTGTTTTTCTTGTCTGTCTGGTACATTTTTTTCTGTTTATCCTATTTAGTTTACTTTTTCTATTTATTTGATCTATCTATTATACAGTAGACGCCGCTTAGTGTGATCAAAATGGCTTGGAACGGTCCCATGCAATACCAATGCATTACAGTTTTTCCGTTTATTGTGATCAATATTTCGCTTATTGTGATCAATCTCGCAATTTTTATACAAGCGGGAGTTGCTTTTTTGGAAAAGCGAGACGACCGAAACTACCTTAGTATTGTGTTTTAATGAACATTCATTGCTCGCAAAAGCTGCATTCGCTTATACTACTCACTTTATACAACCACAATCAGTGACAGACTTTAGTAATCAGTGCGTTTTCGTCTTGAACGAATTTTTGCTGTTTTAAATTTGAGTGGTACTTAAGTAAAAATGATCACGTCGAAACGACGAGATTTCAGCTTACCAGAGAAAAAAAAAATCTCAGCCCTTTCTTAACAAACTTCTAAAAACAACCAAAGGAAATCGGGGGTTCCTTTCTCAGAATGATAACCAAAGTTTAAAATAAATTCTAATGTTTATGTACCTTCATCTACCAGCATAATAAACACTGTCTTGTTCATGATTTTGCTTTGTTTCAAGTTCTACTGTCTTTGATGGTGGTTTTCGCTTATTATTATCAGTCGGTTAGTGTGATCAATTTGTCTGAGTCCCGAAGTGATCACATTAAGCGGCGTCCACTGTATTTCACTTCTTTTGGATTCTTTGAACTGATTTAAAAATAGTTTTAGAAGGTACTCCAGTAGTACAAGGTGGACATACTAAATACGAAGTTCAAAAATGAAGCAATGGAAAAGAAAGAGAATTCTATGTCAGTTATGAATGAAAAAAAGTGTCCTTGGAGACTGTATATCACAACACAGTCTATGATTCTGATTGATAAAACGAATTTAAATAAAATAAAAAAAAATATTGAAACAGTCTCAATTTGCTTAGGTCTTGAAAATTAAACCTGAAAAGCTATAAAGAAAAAAACACAAAACTATATCAGGAATACTTTATTAAAAAAAAAAACATACAAAACCTGCAACAACTTAAACTACTTCGGTCCAGTGAAATTTTTCTTCAACCCTTGCCAACACTGGTAGTACTTGGGGTCCAGCTTCTCACAAGTCTTCAGCCCCCATTCGGTCACCGCCAGCCCCAAACAACTCTCAAACATAAAAGCCTGAGTACCATCAGCAACCCGCTCCGGCTTCAACACAGCATTACTAGCACCTTCAAAACAATTAAAATCCGGACCGTGCGGTGTCATAATACTATGCAAAGTAGCTCCCCCCGGCTGAAAACTACCCCTCTTCGCCTCGTACTCCCCCAGTATCAACCCCATGAACTCCGACATGCAGTTCCTGTGGTAGTACGGCGGCCGGAAGGTATTTTCCTGGACGGACCAGCGCGGCGGGAAAATGACGAAATCTGCAATAGCAGTACCTTTTTTCTCGGATTGACAAGTAAGTACCGTGAAGATGGACGGGTCCTACAACAAAATTTAGGTACGTTTTTGGGTTTATTGTTAAGTGTGGGTGGCGTACGCAGTGGTCGAACGAAACCGAGTTGATCACCATGAATTTGCTCAGGTCGTACTTGTAGGGTACGTAGTTGCCGTACCAGGCCACCACGTCAAAAGGGCTGTGGTTCTGCTCATAGACGAAGAGTTTTCCTTGGAATTTGGCGACGACTTCGTAGTGGTCGACGTCGCGGTCTTCGTAGGCGGCGACTGGGGTTAGGAAGTCGCGCGGATTGGCTAGGCCGTTGGCGCCGATTGGACCCAAGTCGGGGAGGGTGAAGTGCTGGCCGAATACTTCGAGGATGTAGCCGCGAGATGGCTGAGTAATTTGTACGGAAAATCGCATGCCTTGTTGGATTACGCAGATTTCATTGGGGGCGACTTCTATTATTCCGAATTCGGTGGTGATTTTTAGGTTTCCGGTTTGTGGTACTGTAAAGTGTGTAAAGTTGGCAAGTGAAGAGTTTCTCTAATTTTTGACTACTAAGGTGTTGCGTAATATTTTTTGCACTGCCGACTGATTTCGGGTTTTTTGGAGTTCTGCTACTGGAACGTTCCAGAAACGGAATAGTCGCGAAGAAACCTTTTAAAGGGAGACCGTATTTCAACAAGAGTCGAGAAAAATAGAAAGTGTAGCAGAATTTTATTTCGAACAAAACAGAGTTAGAAGAGAGTTTACTAGATGAATTAAGCTAAAGATAGAAATTTCTTCATGTGTACTGAATAATTTCTAGTAGAATTTTATTCCACAACGGGAAAAATCAACTCAGAATACCGTAGAACAATAGATTGTCAAATAAACGAAATACGGATAGAATTCTATTTGAGAACGAGCCGGAAGAGAAAGTGGAGTTCTAGAACAGAATCCACTGTAATTCTAAAGGATTTCATTCAACGGAGACTCCACAATGGTAAATTTCGGTGGTGAAAAAGAAATCCAGTATCAAGAATGAGTCCAAAGACTTTTGCAAAAGTCCTAGAATATTCAAGAGTAAGAAGTTCTGAAGATATTTTGTTTGGAACTTTTGATTTCAAGCATTTTAATTGCAGTATCTAGATAATCTGGTATACTATATAACACATTAACTAACAAGAAAGGACTGAAAACTGAAATTTTCCATGAATTCACAATATTTCCAGATTGAAGATGATTTAAAAGAAGAAAAATAATAATAATCAGCCACAAAAAAAAAACATATCGAAGTGAATCAGAGGCATATGAGACAAATTCTAGAAGATTGTTCCAGAGAAACAGCTCATTCTGAGAATCTTCAATGTTGTAAATTAGCTCCAATCTAAAGAAAGAAACAGAAATTTTTGAGAAAATTCTAGAAAAATAGAAAACTAGAAGCGATATTTGAGAAGACTTCCTGCCAGTAAGCGATGGAAAAGTAACATTTAGACTTCAGTTCGAAAACTCGTGTCGAAGAAAAATCCCCATTAAAAGAAGAATCGAGAAACTTCAGAAACATTGTTCCTGAAAAGAAGATTATCCTGACAATGTTCTACGAAAATTTATGAAGTGAGTTTAGTTACAAAGTGGCCGTAAGATGAAAATTCGACAAGGTTAGAAAATATAGAATGGAGACGAAACACGGATAGAATTCTGTTCTAGAAGAATTCTATTTGAGAACGAGCCGAGAAGAAAATTGGAGTTTTAGAGCAGAATCTACTGCCACTGTGTGGAGTAATTCTAAAGAATTCCATTCGACAGAGACTCCACGCTGGTAAATTTCGGTGGTGAAAAAGAAATCCAGTATCAAGAATGAATCCAAAGACTTTTTCAGAAGTCCTAGAATATTCAAGAGATAGAAGTTCTGAAGATATTTTGTTTGGAAACTTTTAATTTCAAGCATTTTGATTGCAGTATCTAGATAATTTGGTATACTATATAACACATTAACTAACAAGAAAGGACTGGAAACTGAAATTTTCCATGAATTCACAACATTTCCAGATTGAAGATGATTTAGAAGAAGAAAAATAATAATAATCAGCAACAAAAAAAATATCTAAGTGGATCAGAGGCATATGAGACAAATTCTAGAAGATTTTTCGAGAGAAACAGCTCATTCTGAGAATCTTCAATGTTGTAAACTAGCTCCAATGTCAAGGAAGAAACATAGAAATTTTTGAGAAAATTCTAGAATAATAGAACACTAGAAGCGATATTTGAAAAGACTTCCTGCCAGTGAGCGACGGAAAAGTAATATTTAGACTTCAGTTCGAAAACTCATGTCGAAGAAAAATCCCCATTAAAAGAAGAGTCGAGGAACTTCAGAAACCTTCTTCCAGAAAAGAAGATTATCCTGACAAAGTTCTATGAAAATCTATGAAATGATTTTAGTTACAAAGTGACCGTAAGATGAAAATTCGACAAGGTTAGAAAATATAGAATGCAGACGAAACATGGATAGAATTCTGTTCTAAAAGAATTCTATTTGAGAACGAGCCGAGAGGAAAATTGGAGTTTTAGAGCAGAATCTACTGCCACTCTGTGGAGTAATTCTAAAAAATTCCATTCGACAGAGACTCCACACTGGTAAATTTCGGTGGTGAAAAAGAAATCCAGTATAAAGAATGAATCCAAAGACTTTTGCAGAAGTCCTTGAATATTCAAGAGTTAGAAGTTCTGAAGATATTTTGTTTGGAAACTTTTGATTTCAAGCATTTTGATTGCAATATATAGATAATCTGGTATACTATATAACACATTAACTAACAAGAAAGGACTGAAAACTGAAATTTTCCATGAATTCACAATATTTCCAGATTGAAGATGATTTAGAAGAAGAAAAATAATAATAATCAGCCACAAAAAAAAAACATATCGAAGTGAATCAGAGGCATGAGACAAATTCAAGAAGATTCTTCCAGAGAAACAGCTCATTCTGAGAATCTTCAATGTTGTAAACACTAGCTCCAATGTCAAGGAAGAAACATAGAAATTTTTGAGAAAATTCTAGAATAATAGAAAACTAGAAGCGATATTTGCGAAGACTTTCTGCCAGTAAGCGACGAAAAAGTAACATTTAGACTTCAGTTCGAAAACTCGTGTCGAAGAAAAATTCCCATTAAAAGAAGAATCGAGAAACTTCAGAAACATTCTTTCTGAAATGAAGATTATCCTGACAATGTTCTACGAAAATCTATGAAGTGAGTTTAGTTACAAAGTGACCGTAAGATGACAATTCGACAAGGTTAGAAAATATAGAATGGAGACGAAACACAGATAGAATTCTGTTCTAGAAGATTTCTATCTGAGAACGAGCCGAGAGGAAAATTGGAGTTTTAGAGCAGAATCTACTGCCACTGTGTAGAGTAATTCCAAAGAATTCCATTCGACAGAGACTCCACACTGGTAAATTTCGGTGGTGAAGAAGAAATCCAGTATCAAGAATGAATCCAAAGACTTTTGCAGAAGACCTATAATATTCAAACGTTAGAAGTTCTGAAGATATTTTGTTTGGAAACTTTTAATTTCAAGCATTTTGATTGCAGTATCTAGATAATCTGGTATACTATAAAACACATTAACTAACAAGACAGGACTGAAAACTGAAATTTTCCATGAATTCACAATATTTCCAGATTGAAGATGATTTAGAAGAAGAAAAATAATAATAATCAGCGACAAAAAAAACATATCGAAGTGAATCAGAGGCATATGAGACAAATTCTAGAAGATTCTTCCAGAGAAATATCTCATTCTGAGAATCTTCAATGTTGTAAACACTAGCTCCAATGTCAAGGAAGAAACATAGACATTTTTGAGAAAATTCTAGAATAATAGAAAACTAGAAGCGATATTTGAGAAGACTTTCTGCCAGTAAGCGACGAAAAAGTAACATTTAGACTTCAGTTCGAAAACTCGTGTCGAAGAAAAATTCCCATTAAAAGAAGAATCGAGAAACTTCAGAAACATTCTTCCTGAAAAGAAGATTATCCTGACAAAGTTCTATGAAAATCTATGAAATGATTTTAGTTACAAAGTGACCGTAAGATGAAAATTCGACAAGGTTAGAAAATATAGAATTGAGACGAAACACTGATAGAATTCTGTTCTAGAAGAATTCTATTTGAGAACGAGCTGAGAGGGAAATTGGAGTTCTAGAACAGAATCTACTGTCACTGTGTAGAGTAATTCTAAAGAATTCCATTCGACAGAGAATCCACGCTGGTAAATTTCGGTGGTGAAAAAGAAATCCAGTATCAAGAATGAATCCAAAGACTTTTGCAGAAGTCCTAGAATATTAAAGAGTTAGAAGTTCTGAAGATATTTTGTTTGGAAACTTTTGATTTCAAGCATTTTTATTGCAGTATCTAGATAATCTGGTATACTATATAACATATTAACTAACAAGAAAGGACTGAAAACTGAAATTTTCCATGAATTCGCAACATTTTCAGATTGAAGATGATTAGAAGAAGAAAAATAATAATCAGCTACACAAAAAAAATATCGAAATGAATCAGAGGCATATGAGACAAATTCTAGAAGATTCTTCCAGAGAAACAGCTCATTCTGAGAATCTCCAATGTTGTAAACTAGCTCCAATGTCAAGGAAGAAACATAGAAATTTTTGATAAAATTCTAGAATGATAGAACACTAGAAGCGATATTTGAGAAGACTTCCTGTCAGTAAGCGACGGAAATGTAACATTTAGATTTCAGTTCGAAAACTCGTGTCGAAGAAAAATCCCCATTAAAAGAAGAATCGAGGAACTTCTGAAACATTCTTCCTGAAAAGAAGATTATCCTAACAATGTTCTACGAAAATCTATGAAGTGAGTTTAGTTACAAAGTGACCGTAAGATGAAAATTCGACAAGGTTAGAAAATATAGAATGGAGACGAAACACGGGTAGAATTCTGTTCTAGAAGAATTCTATTTGAGAACGAGCCGAGAGGAAAATTGGGGTTTTAGAGCAGAATCCACTGTCACTGTGTAGAGTAATTCTAAAGGATTCCATTCGGCTGAGACTCTACACTGATAAAATTTCGATGGTGAAGGACAAATCTAGTATCAAGATTGAATACAAAGACTTTCGAAGAAGTCCTAGAATATTCAAAGGTCAGAAGTTCTGGACACATTTTACTGGAAAACTTCTGATTTGAAGCATTTTGATTGCAGTATCTAGATAATCTGGGAGAAATTTTTGAGAAAATTCTAGAATAGTAGAACACTAGAAGCGATATTTGAGAAGCAAACGACAGAAGAGGAAAATTTGGACTTCAGTCTGAGAATTAGTGTCGAAGAAGAACCTCCATTGAAGGAAGAATCGAAGAAATTCAGAAATATTCTTCCAGAAAAGAAGATTATCTTGACAATCTTCCAAGATTAAATATAGGACAGAAAACAGAATATCAACGCATTTCTTGGAAGAAAATCTATGAAGTGAGTTTAGTTAAAACGCGACTGTTTAAAGAAAATTTGGCAAAGCTAGAAAATATTCTATTAGAATGGAGACGAAACACGGATAGAATTCTATTCTAGAAGAATTCTATTTGAGAACAAATCAGGAGGGAAATTGGAGTTCTAGAACAGAATTAACAACAGAATTACAACCGTGTACAGTAATTCTAAAGAATTCCATTCGACAGAGGTTCTATATTGGTAAATTTAGGCAGTGTAGAACAGATCCAGTATCGAGAAAGAATACAAAAACTCGAAAAAGTCATAAAATGTTCTAAAGTCAGAAGTTCTGGAGATATTGTTTGGAAACTAAAAAAAGATAGGAAAATTATTATTTCAATGTTAGATTACACCTAAAGTAGAAGCATTTTGACTGCAGTATCTAAATAATCTGGGAGAAATTTTTGAGAAAATTCTAGAATAGTAGTAAACTAGAAGCGATGTTTGAGAAGACTTCCTGCCAGCAAACGACGGACGAGTAAAATTTGGACTTCAGTCTGAGAACTGGTGTTGAAGAAAAACCTCCATTAAAGGAAGGATCGACGAAGTTCAAATGTGAAAAAAAAATCCCGGTTAGAGAAAGAAGAGAAAGACGAAAAAGATGGACACCAGAGCTGGAGTAAAAAATCGAGATTTCGGCACTGAATTCTTTTGTGTTATGAAGAACATCGACAGCTTTCTAGTAAAGGAACGCTCGAGAAACATAATTATTTTCGAAAGAGAGAGCATTTAAAGAGTATGAACTTAGAAACAGAGGAAAAAATCGAAAATATTAAGTAAGTATTTAAAGTTGTGAACAATTTACGATAAAATCTTGTCAAACCTAACAATAAAGCAGCATGACATTAATAACATCACAAAATGTTCTATTTTTAGTTTTCATTTTTCAAAAGTCGGCAGCGCAAAGGGTGGTAAATACAACCCGGAAATACATAAGGGGTGAACGCACCTATGAGGAAATCCCCGTCCGCATTGTAGAAGCACCGATCGGTCATTGATTTATTCGCAGAGTAGATATGAATGGCCAGCCCTTGTTTATTTTTAGGGTCACCAGCCCCTGCTAAGGTGTTCAGCCCGTTGACAAAATCTATACTTCCGCCGGCTCTGGGGAAGTCGAAAGGGTTCCACCGCATCTGCGATTAATAATTAAGTGAACGGAATGGAAATGTCAGGTGATTTACTTAATTTAAATTTTAAATGCTGTCTGGCATTAGCCTGATTAAAATTACAAATGGTGTTTAAAACGAGAAATTGGGTCATCATATTGCCGTAAAGCTACCCCCAATCTGGTAATTTATCAGGCGAATTTCAAAGTTTTATTCCAGTTTTACCTGATTGGGATCGGGTTCTGCGTCCGCCCAGTCATGGGTGACATTGGCTTTGTTAAAGGGCTTGAAGGGCGCGTGTCCCACTGAAGGCCTAATCCTGTACAGCCAACTCCTCCTGTTTTCGCTTCTTGGCGCGGTGAAGGCGCTCCCCGACAACTGCTCCGCGTACAGACCATAAGGGCACTTTTGTGGGTTGTTCTGGTTTCTGGGTAACGAATTGGGGCATCTTGGGTCTTCCGAGGAAAACTCGGACCCAAAACCGCTCAAATACTATACAAAAATGGTTAAATGCGCGAAAAACACAATCGTGTGGCTTACCTTGAGTGACATACTTAAGTCGGATAACAGTTGGATAAAGACTGAGGCGTCGTTTACTCGCCGCGGCATAAAATAACATTATGTAAATGACTTGTTTATGAAAATATCTCGCGATAGTAACAAATAATGATTGAGCAGTTTTGAGGAATTTTGATAAACAGGTGTGAGGGTTAGTTATGGGCGTATTACAATGAAAAATATCATTAGAAATAATTTTTACTTCACAGAAAACCAAATGTACAGTCTTAAACACAAATGTTAACTGAAACGAGATTATAGCCAAACGCAGTACTTTTATTTTTGAACATCACTATACTTAAGACCTTCGGGTAATGTATCTTCAGCGATTGATATCGTAAAAATTCACATACAAGGTGTCGTTTACTGTTCTTCAGGGGGCAAACACCCTGTACATAATTATCACACATCAACAATATTCATTTAATTAAAAAAAAAGAAACCATCTGTACATAATCTGAACGTTTTTACATAAATATATCGAAAAAAAAACTGCACTTTTTAATTAAAAACACTGAGTATATAACTAGGACATGCATACCTACCTTGTAGTTTTATATTTATGTATAATAATTTGGTCGCGAATAGGGCAAACCTACCAAACCTCAGTACTCGAATTTGATAATAATTTAACAAAACAGTTTAGAAAAAAGCTCGTTTCGCCCCCCTTTCGTGTTAAATTATTAGTATGGGAATCGGGCGGGGAAAAGGGCTGTTCTCCGTCAGACTGCGCCATTTGTACGCTACATTTTTTGTTAACAAATACAATATATCTAAGCAGTTTATGATATTGCGATTGACAAATATAAGAATTACAAGAAGTAATCGGGTGTCCTGCGCGTCACGTGCGGTTCGCCACGACGAGGTGCTGGGTCGAATTGTAAGCTGAAATGACCACAATTAGCCAAGATATCTCACAAATCACTAAATTAAAAACATTTTTTTTTAATGAACTTACAATGAATATTTTAGAGCGTCATCTAATTCCATGATGGCCGCTTGGTTACCGCAACGGTAACAGTAATTCGGAGCGCTAAAAATGGTCACGACGTTACGATCGTGACACCAATTGTAACCTTCCATTACTAGCTGATGGGCCCGAGAAACTAAAGTCAAACCGTTTGAATGATTAAACGTTTCGGAAATGTCTTGTCCAAAAGTGTAACCAGCCCCTCGCGGCGAAATTCCCCATCCGCCACGATCGTCCGGATCCGACCATAAGAGGTCACACATGGGACCTTCATGGGGAACCTGAAAATAAACACAAGAATTTTAACACTGGTCCAAATTTTGATAATCATCAAGTCGGCTTTGGACTGTGATGAATTTTGCCGCTTCATTGTAATTGTGTATGCGGTAACTCTTATTCGATAGAATGTGTTACTAGTGCGCATGCACGATGAAATACGTCAATTCCATGCTGTCAACTACGAGAATCTAACCTAAAAATCTTGCTATTGCTACATTTCCGCTATCTCTGTATTCTTCAGTTTGTGTATTTGACGTAGGAATCACCACATAAAAGCGTTTGTTTGAAATGTTCGATATGTCGGAATTACAATACGAGCATACAATTAACAAATTTCACTGTAGAGTAAGACCTCAAAACAGTGGAAATAAGTGTTTATAAATGTATCGAGTTAATAAGTATATTTTGAACATTGAAAAGTTTATTGAATCTCATCAAGTCCAAAACTTTGGTTTATAAATCAATAAATTTCATAAAATATCATATTTCTATACTTGTGGTTTATGAATCCGCCTTTCGTTTTTACCTTACACATCCAGATTTTTTCAATTTTAGCGAAGTTCAATTGGTATTATCTTTTTTTTCTGATACACTGGCTTCATTTGATTGTACTTTAAGGGTGATAGAAGCTCTGTTGAATAACACGATGTTAGTAATAATAACAAAAAAAAAAAAAAAACATTTCCCAAACTAAGCAATAGTGAATGTTTTCGAAAACAGGATAAATTTCAAACGGTATCAATTAATAATAAATTATCTGCTAGTCAAAGGTTCGTTCAAGGTGTTCCACAAACACAAAGTTCAATGTTGGGGCCAGTATTCTTGTTAATCTATATTAATGATTTGCCTTCAAATGTAATTAGCTCTCACCACATTTTTATTCGCAGATGACACAAGAGTTATTATTATTATTAATTTTATGCCCGCCTTCAAGTCATGCAGAGAGAATCTATAAAATAATAAAAAATAACTTTTTTTGGGTCACCCAGTATAAACAATTCTAAATTAAAAGTACGCTCCTCAGAATTTATAAAATTTCCACAATCGAAGTAACAAAAATTTGTTCCTCAGAAAATAGGCGTTTAAAATTTATAAAGTACTATACTTGTGATTTGCTTATACGGGGTGACTAAAAAAATTAATGAATGCGTGAATTTATTTAATTGACTGGAGGTGTTTTAAAGTTATCATAAGCATGGTAAATTTTTGATAAAAATGTATTTACTCATCAAAAGATTGCTGAATATATTCTTAAATGTGCAAAATATGATGAGTCTATACAGTAAACTCACTTGACATACACCTTGTAAAACTTTTATGACTTAAGCGGCTCAAGCCAAACCACCCTTATAAGTCAAATTGGCTATTGTTAGCTTTATGCACCCGAAGCGCAAGGATTATTACTGTCGTTTGTTGACATAATAGAGCGGTAAACTGAGTTAAGTTATACAACAGCCAGTTTGACTTATAAGGATCCTTTGGCTTAAGTTGCTTAAGTCATAAAAGTTCTACAAGGTGTATGTCAAGTGAGTTTACTCTACTTGTGATTTATTTTTAATACATAATTAATATTTTTTATATTTTCTTATACAGCTTGTCTCAGAAAAATTAATTACTGAACTGTTAAGCATAAATATCCAATCAGATTTAGGAATTTAACTCGTTACTATGGAAATATGCAATTTCACACCTTTTAAATTTAACAAGTTTTTATAAGTTTAATAGGGGCAAAATCAGTCTTATCTTAGCAAGTGCTAACCCCGCCCACCCGCCCCCTACTTTCTCAGGTTTATGTCATTTGCGAAAATACGTTTTACCTTTGTTAAGTACTAGCCCCGCCCACCCGCCCTTTATTTTTTTAGAGGGTATGTCATTTGCCAAATTCAGTCTTAACAGATACCAGCCCTACACATCCGCCCTCTATTTTCTTAGAGGATGTCATTTGCCAAAATCATTCCTCTATTTTCTTAGAAGATAAGTAAAGTCACTTGCCAAAATCAGTCTTATTTTAGCAAGTACTAGCCCCACCCACCCGCCCTCTATTTTCTTAGCGGCAATCATTTGCCAAAATAAGACTTATCTTAGCAAGTACTACCCTCCGACAAAACAAAGGGCGGAAGGCGGGGCTAGTATTTGCTAAGATAAGTCTTATTTTGGCAGATGACATATCCTCTGACAAAACAAAGGGCGGGTGGGTGGGGCTAGTATTTGCTAACATAAGTCTTATTTAGGCAAATTACATTCTCTGGGAAAATAGGGGGTGGCTGGGCGGGCGTAGTATTTGTAAAGATAAAACTGATTTTGCCCCTATTAATCTTGTAAAAACTTGTAAAATTTAAAGGTGCTAAATTGCAAATTTCCATAGTAACGAGTTAAATTCGTAAGTCTACCCGAAATGTGCAAAATATAATGAATGAATTTATTTTATCGATTTAATCAGGAACTACAAAATCGAATGCTTTGAAATCTTGGACATTTTTGATCAACATGTATTTGCTCATCCCTCCTAAAAAATTGATGACGTCACCTCAAAATATTGCCGAATATATCTTATATGTGCAAAACATGATACGTCTATACTTGTAATTAATTTTTAATAGATATCTAATATTTTTTAAATTCGCTTATACACGGTGTCTCAGAAAAATTAATAACTGAGCTGTTAAAAAATAAATATCCAGTCAGATTTAGGAATTAACTCGTTACTATGGAAATATGCAATTTAACACCTTTTAAATTTAACAAGTTTTTACAAGTTTAATCGGGGCAAAATCAGTCTTATCTTAGCAAGCACTAGCCCCGCCCACCCGCCCTCTACTTTCTCAGAGTTTATATCATTTTCCAAAATAAGTTTCACCTTTGTAAGTACTAGTCCCGCCCACCCGCCCCTACTTTCTCAGAAGTTATGACATTTGCCAAAATCAGCTTATCTTGGCAAGTACTAGCCTCGCCCACCCACCCTTTATTTTCTTAGCGGATATGTCATCTGCCAAAATAAGACTTATCTTAGCAAGTACTACCCCCTGACAAAATAAAGGGCGGGTGGGCGGGGCTAACAAGTCTTATTTTGGCAAATTACATATCCTCTGAGAAAATAGGGGGTGGGTGGGCGGGGCTAGTATTTGTTAAGATAAAACTGATTTTGGCCGTATGAATCTTGTGAAATTTAAAGGTATTAAATTGAAAATTTCCCTAGTAACGTGTTAAATTCCTAAGTCTACCCGAAATGTCCAAAATATGATTAGTGACTTTATTTTAATGATTTAATCAGGAACTACAAAAATAAACATGGTAAATTTTTGGTCAAAATGCATTTCCTCACTCTTTTTTTCGACTTTTTTGACTACTTGGTTCTCGAAGTTTCAATTTTTCGATTTCTCGATTTGTCAAGTTTTCGTTTTTCCAATTTTTCAACATTTCAATTTTGGAAATTTTCAATTTCTCGATTTTTCATTTTTCGATTCTGCAATTTTTCGTTTATTTTTTAAATCTTGTATTTTGTGATTTCTCGATTTCTCGTTTTTTTATTTTTTCAGTTCGATTTTTCAATTTTCAAAATTTTTCTCGATCTTATCCTTTGACGTTTTAGACTTCTTATGTTTCGATTTTCCCATTCTTCGATGTATCGATTTTTCAATTTTACCATTTTCCAATTTTTCAATTTTTTTTTTTCCAATTTTTTAAATTTTGGATTTTGAGATTTCTTAGTTGGTTTTTTAGTTTTATATTTTTACAATTTTTCTGGTTCACAATTGTCCAGTTTTTAATGAATCAGTTTTTCAATTTTTGATTTTTCAATATCAGGTTTTCCACCTTGATGCTTCAATTTTACGGTTTTATAATTTCGCAATTTTTCATTTTTACAGTTTCATAATTTTTCGATGTTACTATTATTCAATTTTACAAATTTTCATTTTTTTCATTTCAAGGTTTTTGATTTTCCAGTTTAATTCTTTTACAATTGCTGGTTTTTGAAGGTGTCCGACTTTTCAAGTCGTTAATTTTAATTTAGAATTGTAACAATTTTTCGATTTTATGCTATTTCGATTTCTACATTTTTCGACTTTTTTGACTCCCTGTTCCTCGAAGTTTCAATTTTTCGACTTCTCGATTTATCAAGTTTTCGTTTTCTCAATTTTTCAACATTTCAATTTTGGAAATTTTCAATTTCTCGATTTTTCATTTTTAGATTCTGCAATTTTTCCTTTATTTTTTAAATCTTGTATTTTGTGATTTCTCGATTTCTCGTTTTTTAATTTTTTCAGTTCGATTTTCCAATTTTCAAAAATTTTTTTGGTTCTTTTAATTTATCGATTTTTTCAAATTTTAAATTTTTTGGATTTGCTTTCCGGATTTTTCGATTCATCAATTTTAAATCTTTTGGTTTTGCTTTTCCGACTTCTCCATTTATCGATTTTTCGACATGTTCACTTTTCTTTTTTTCGGATTCTCGATCTTATCTTTTGATGTTTTAGATTTCTTATGTTTCGATTTTTCCAGTTTTTACTTTTCAGTTTTGGGATTTTTCGATATTTCAGTTTTTCGATTTTTTAAATTTTGGATTTTGACATTTCTTAGTTGATTTTTTAGTTTTATATTTTAACAATTTTTCTGGTTCACAATTGTCCAGTTTTTAATGAATCAGTTTTTCAATTTTTGATTTTTCAATATCAGGTTTTCCACTTTGATGCATCAATTTTACGGTTTTATAATTTGGCAATTTTTCATTTTTACAGTTTCATAATTTTTCGATTTTCCTCTTATCCAAATTTACAAATTTTAATTTTTTTCATTTCAAGGTTTTTGATTTTTCACTTTAATTCTTTTATAATTGCTCGTTTTTGCTTTTCAAATCGTTAATTTTAATTTAGAATTGGAACAATTTTTCGATTTTATGCTATTTCGATTTCTACATTTTTCGACTTTTTTGACTCCTTGGTTCTCGAAGTTTCAATTTTTCGATTTCTCGATTTATCAAGTTTTCGTTTTCTCAATTTTTCAA